CCCTCGTCGACAACTTTTTTAGGTAAAAAAATTTTCCGGACGAGTACGTTGCAATTCCTTTCCAAGGACTTTATCTTAATTTTTCATACCAAATTTCGGTACTTAGCCTAAAAAAACAGATATCTTGTTCTTTGCGCGGAAATTTTTAACACAAAAAAATGACTGGGGCCCAATCTTCTGCATATTTTTACATGGCCCACCCTTATGATTGCGCTTAACTTTCGCTGACCCACCTCTTCAACCGTGCTCAAAAATAGTGACCCACCCCCACCCCAAAATTGTATTTTAAAACACTTAAAATGTAGAAAAATTGGGAATCGACTCGCATTACCTCAATCCCATTCCCATTTTTGAGGACTTCATTTCCCATTCCCAGTGGCCAAATTCCAGTGCCACCAACCCAAATCCCATTTTCCCAGTCTAAAATTAGATCAATCCCAGTTCCCATTTCACCCCTTCAGGACCCTCTGATATATAGTCGAAACGAATATGAATGATTCATGGCCAAAGAATAAGAATAAATGATTCATGGCCAAAGACATATTACATGTACGTTAATTATTTTACATAATTATTGTTCGTCATGTAATCAGTGAAGGAGTCAGGATTATCCCGCATGGAAATAACATTTTAAACGTGCCTATATAAAACGGTGTTCAATATTCATACTACATGATGGGCATATGGCCAAACAAACACCTTGTGCTTTTTTGCTCAAATTTATGCACGTATGATCAGGGCGTAGGAAGCTTCTAAAAGAGGGCATCTAAAAAAGGGCATCTAAAATTTTTTCCTGGAATAGTTGGCGACGGGCCCCCCGCCCGTCTCAAAATTTTTTTCCGGATACACCAAAAAAAATTTTCCGAATATATCACATTTTTTCCCTAAATATGAAAACATTTTTCCGGACATACCAAAAAATTTTCCGGATATATCAGATTTTTCCCGGAAATTAAACAAATTTTCCGAAAAATAACATAAATTCAAGTTTTCAAAAGTGCCCTTTGGGCAAAAAAAAGGCAATCCTTAAGACATTTTTCACTCAAGAAAAGGGCACTTTGCTCCCAGAAAAAGGGCACTTGGCAAAACTTGGGGGGGCTGTCCCCCCCGGTTCCTACGCCCCTGCGCATGATTTGGTCATAATTTAGCAGGAGGGGTGGGGAGGTGGAAACAATGTGGGTCACATATTTTTTAGCCAAGAAAAAGGGGGGCTCACAAAATATTAGACAGTTTATGAAGGCGGGGAGGGGGTCTGCTGTTTTAGTTCAATTAATTGTTTTATACATATTCTCACATTTTGTTTGAGTTGCATTGAAAAAAATTGATTCTTTAAACTTAGAAAAGTTTGAAAAAACTAAAGTTTTATATATGACTATGTATTGGTATAATATAAATTTTAGTATTTGATTTAAAGCGCAGCTAGAAAATTAGAAAATTTAAAGTGCAATTAGAAAATTTATTGAATGCAGGGTTTAGTAGTGCGAGCAAGAGAGAGGGGTTTACTGACACGAGCAATAGAGAGGGGGGGCATTATTTTTCCGGGTTATGGCAAAGCAGGGTTACAAAAGATCATTCTTTAAAATTTTGAATTACACCTCCCCACCCCCCCCCCCTGATAAATTATGACCAGTCCCTTACACACGTAAAAACGCACAAGTTGTAACAAGTCCGCAAACAAGTTGTTACAAGTCTGTTCACAAGCTGTCAACAAGTTGTGTTCGCACTGCTTGTTCCCAGTTTGTCGCAACAAGTTTGAAACAAGCTGTTAACAACTTATAACAAACTTGATGGCATTATCAGCCTTGTTACAAGACTGTGCTAACAAGTTTGTTACAGCCATGATATAACAAAGATGTTACAAAGTTGTCAACACAAGGTTGTAACAATCGTGTTATATCAAGCATGTCACAGACTTGTCAGAACAACCTTGCAACAAGTCTGATAATTTCGACAAAGTTGTTACAAGTTGTCAACAAGTTGTTCCAAACCTGTTGACAACTTGTGACAAGCAGTGCGAATACATGTTGTTGACAGCTTGTTGGACGCGTGATATTAAACTGGTAAGTGATAAGGCATATAACCTTGAGTATAAAAATGGGTGATCACTTGGAGGCGCAGTTGGTGACCTCAGACATCATTTCTATCCCCTCACTGACTTGGAAATAGGTGAGCGTAGGAAATGATATCTGGGTTTGTGACTATTGAAGGGGGGAATCCCCCCAATAAACACCCCTGAAATTTGGGGGGAGCTCCCACCCAAGTCCCAAAATCTAAAATACCACCTGATGGTTTTTTTCGCAAGTGCTCCCGACTCGGTCACGTCTGATATAATTATATAAATTTTTTGCTCGAAATTTTCATCCACAAAACCCATCAACAATCAGTTCTATCATTATCCTTATTCATATTACCTGTAATTAATTTCACCATCGTTATCTTTGTCCAGTGATTCAACCAACGCAAGTAGTTCAGAGTCATTCATATGTATCCCAGTTTCCTAAAAAGATCAGTATAAACCTTTAATGCACGTGTCGTCCACTTTTGTGATTGCACTGTGCAGTTATCAGATTATAATTCCACCTCGGTGGCATGTGAGAAAAGGCATCTCAGTTTGACTCCATTGGACTTAGGGTGAGGCGGTTGATCGATATACCGGAAAAAACGATGTTTTTCGAAAACCGATTCAACCGATGTTGTTCCAGACAAAAAAGCGGAAAAAACTTTTTGAAACATAACAGTAATATATTACCTAGGATCCCAACATTTCACACCCATGTAGCAAAAAAATTTGTATAATAACTACAGTGAAACACGCAATTTGATTAGTCAAAAGCCGTGCAGGATCAGGCTATCCTGCACGAGGAATTAAAATGCCTTCGCGGGATTCTCAAAATGTCATTGTTTCACTGTAGTTATTTTATAGAACAAATGGTTTTCCAAGCAGGATAGCGTGATCCATGCACTTGGGATGTTTCTCGACTTTCGGAAAGCGTAAAAAATACACTCGCCTGCGGCTCGAGTATTTTTACGCTTTCCGAAAGTCTCGCGACATCCCTCGTGCATGGATCATGCAATCCTGCACGGAAAACCATTCGGTAATCGGTATGCCCTTATTCGCCAAATTTCTTTCTCATAAACGAACCTGTAATCCATTGACAAACTCCTGTATGGTAAAACTCAATATTGAATTGAATTGAATATTGAATTGAATTGAATTGAATTTGTCACACATTTTTTACAAGATTAAATATTTACATCATAATATAGGGTTCTCCAAACTATTTTGAATATGAGAGGTTATTAGTAGATCCTATAATATGTATGTGACGAGGAAGTCTAAAACAGAAGCCAACGGCTTATAAATATTAGACTCCTCGATATAATATATCATTATGTTCAATATATGACAAGAGGACATTATAGAGAAAAAAACTTAAAAAATGATTATAACTTATAAGTCAATATTTAAATTACGGGATATTGTGAAGGTATTCATGAGATATACATAAGTAAGCATAGTAAATACATTAGTATAAATAGTCTTGCAGTAAAGATTCTTTCAGTTTGAATTTGAACTGCAAAAGGTTTGGTAACATTTTTATGTTATCATTTAAGAAATTCCAGTAAACAGGACCCTGGTAAGTTATTGTTTGTGATTTTAGAGTTGTACGACATCGATGCGGACGCGGATTTTGAGCAGTTCTAGTATTATAATGATGAATTTGTGAGCCCGAGACAAAGAGGTTATCATAACTGCGTGGCAACAAATTATTACAGTACGAGAACATGAATGTACCTTTTTGTAATGAATTAATTTCCATAACTTTTAGAATTTTAAGTTCCTTAAATATTGGTTCAGATGGAGCAAGATATTCTGCTTTAGCAATAGATCGCACAACTCTCTTTTGTATGAGGATCAGCCTATGCAAATTTGTTACATACGATGACCCCCATACTAGATTGCAGTAATGTAAATAAGGATAAACTAAAGCATAATACAGCGATAACAAACATTTTTATCCTTGTCCATCATGGAGAAGAAATCATACAGTCTCATTTGATTGTTCTCGATGTAGTTTTTCAAGATCTTCATCGGAGCTGGACGTTCTTTAGGCTTCTCGTTAGCACCACCAGAACCACCGTGTGAAATATTGATACCAGGTCGACCATCCTGGATTTCTTTCAATAAAGCGAGGAATTCCTGGTTCACTGTTATATCCTGAGAAATACGAAGAACATGAATGGACATTGCCCAAGGACAAGTTGATTAAATTTGGATGAAAATGGATGATTCCAGCTATAGACTAAATTTTGATCTAGGCAAGAAGAACAAATCCATCACCACAGCTAGAAAGAGCATGTATGTTAAATTAGTAAAATTGCAAAGTTTGGCCGCGAAATGTTGTAAAATGCGGATATAATATAGCACTGCGAAGTTTGCCGTTTTTCAGTCATTTTGTATTACGCACGGGAAATTGATACCGCTTTCTGGAAAAAGGTATCAATTTCCCGTGCGTAATACAAAATGACTGAAAAACGGCAAACTTCGCAGTGTTATTATTATCCGCATTTTACAACATTTCGCAACGAAACTTCGGAATATTACTAATTTTGTGATGCTCTTTCAACCTGTGGTGAAATGTTTGTCTAGACTTGTCTAGATCAAAATTGTGTTCATTAGGGAATAGGTCCATTGATAAGCAACGTACCATTAATTCTATTTCCGTCAAGCTGGAGCTAGGATTGTTTTTCAGAGCAAGAAGAAGTGCTACTGCTCCAGCACTTTGCAACGGATTTTTGCCAACCTAAATGAGAGGTTGAGAGCACAGCATCACAATAATAGCTGAATAAATATATTGTTGTATAAATAAATAAATAAAACAAATTAAACATCCCAAGCTTGAGGATTTTTAGCGTATTATTGACACCCAGTACTTTGGCAAGACAGCCTGCTCCGGTACATGATATGCGATTGTTCCCTAAACATAAATAAGTAATAAAAGGTTATAGTTTATTTTAAATTCGAATGGTCCATCGACGCATTGCTTATTAACTCTTAGTTCTGGATTACTAACCGTCGGTACTGCTACTTAAGCGCAGGGACGGGGGGCATGCACCCCCTATCCCTGGCCGGAGGGGATGCAGGGGGGGGGGCTATTTTTCATGATAAAGCAAAGATACAGTAATTTGAGTAATAACATGATGATAAGCGAACTGTGAACAACAATTACAATTTAAATACAGTAGTCAAGCAAGACTTTGCAGTAGTGAAACAAGTTGATGGGCCGCCCGCCCACATGACCGACACAACTCGGCACAACAGCTGGCAGAGCACAACCTCCCCCCCCCCCCCCC